GGACACAAACGAAAAACTACAATATTTACTAGGGCGTGTATTTATTTATCTATCACAACTACAATACTGCCATTTCTTACTTCGATTACGACCGATTTTTCAATCATCAGTTAATTTTTAACTGTAGAATAAAATTGACATATGACGGCTTTTAGTATGGAAGAATTGTCAAATATTCAAAGTTAGTTAAAATATATCTGGTGTTAGAAAAATCAGCCCTTAGAAGTAACAATTAATTTAATGTAGGCGTCTCCTACACATCCAAGTAAAAACTAACCAATTAATCGTAGTAGGTAGTAATAATAACTTCAAAACAGTTGGGTAAATTCTACGAAACGTGAACAACACCGAAATACTACGAAACGATAAATATTTAAAACACCTTAGCATCATTCATAACCCTTTTCATACCGAGCTCAAACCACCATTTGTTTTAGTCAAACCTAAGGCTGTATAGGAAATGCCAGGGCGTAGGTGCTGATAAACAGTTGAGGGCCTATGGAACAACAACTTATCCACCCACGCCCCAAGTTGGATGAACTGGATAAAAGGAGGGTCGAAACCAGAAAACGTTGTAAAGGATCCAACGTGTTCAGAATAGTAATGAAGCCATGGATAAATTAATTTCGAATCAGACGTAAGCCGATGTTTAATTCATTAAAGCCTTCCGAAACGATATCAATACATAAATAAATAATAAATCAAATCTGTATCAATTCCAGGATCCTACAACATAGGTGTAACCTACTGTTTCATTTTCTTAACACAAGAATGTTTCTCAGCATTTTTTTTTAAATAAAAATGAGACTTGTGCTTGAGTCCTTGGGTTTAGAAAAACCAGTAACTTAACTTTTACATTAAAACAACTCTAGATTCATGAAACTTAATGGTTCCATCATAAGCCACCATTATCCTTGCTGTTTACGATTATTCCGTGTCATATGCACTCGACAGAAGGACGAATATTGTATAACCTTAACCCGGTTATTTATAAATTAGACAGTCATTGGGGATACAATTTCCATTAGCTACATAAATCGAAATACACATGTCATCAGTTTTTATATCTCTTAGGATTCATCATCACGAAACTATGACATAGTATCTATTATGCTACGAAGAATGTTTACTTCTTTCATACACAGTTTTATCTATTATATAACATCACGCCTTTTTATCTCCGAAGGGGTAAGCAGAGGTGCACATTACGGCACTTAATGCCACTGTACAATGTAACACCCACTTTTCACTATTTATGTTACGAGTCCCATGTAATAGGGGATGAGCCTATTGCCATATACCAGGCACATTTCCAGACTCCGTGCTACTACTAAGATTTAAAAAAAACCCAATAATACTTTGCCCGACCCGGGAATCGAACCCGAGACCCCTTGCCCGGCAGTCGCACTTGCGACCACTCGGCCAACGAGGCAGTCTTATCTATTAATTGACAATTAAGCACACATCAAAACAAAAGCAGATCCAAATGCCAATAAACCCTTGTTTTCATCTCGAAATTGGATCACAAAACATAATTTTATTGAACTAATTTATCCTTTGTTTAAGACCTGACCTTCGAACAAACAAAGCGACATGAACACTACCCTAGTGGTGAATGTCGTTCGCAATTTTGTTCTGTATGCATTCTATTTTGAAGGACTAGACAGGTAAGGTCCCGCCGCCCTTGACCCAGTTTAACGCCTGACCAGCTCGACCCTCGGGCTCACGTGCAATAATTTTGCGACACCCCTACACGTAAATCGCGTTTAAAATATGTAAAATACAGTACTATTATATGTATTATCGGTTGATTGCTTTCTCTTTCAACTGAATAATGATTCAATGAGTATGTTTGTCTGAGAATGTTTGAAGCTGTAAATAATAAAGTAATTGATATTTTATTTATATTTTGTACTTGGGGTTTCCAAAGACTAACTTTCAATATAATCGAAGATAACATGTAATATCGTGATACCTGTATCCATTCAGACCGCGTTATGCTCGACTGCTATTAAATTACAGCCGTAAAAGGACACTGCGGACGTATTTTATGGCAAAAATATATGTACCCAATCTACAAACTTCTATACTTCTCTCTTTACAATTCTTTATATCCAATTACACTTTAATCCCAAGTTACCTATCGCTGTTTAATGACTTTTTCTTTTAGTTTAGCTAATCATTTAAATTACTTGTGTTTTTTTCTAAAAAGGCTTCCGTCCAAATGGACGCCAAATGGCGTTTGAGAATAACGTAAAATATTGTTCGAATTCTTGTCATACATCGTCATGGGAATAAATAGATCACTCAGACATTCGCTTTCAAAGTTCCGTGTCAAGGCGATATGTAGATTTGCGCGCTATATTAGGAAGATACGGGTTCTATCTAGCAGATAGGTTTATTTATCCCATTTATTCACACGGGGGACATAGATCGATGGATAGTACTAAGCGGGGAACTTGTGGGACGCTGTTTCCTTAATGAAACATTACTTACTCCACTGGAACGTACTTAGCGATCTCGACTTAAGTTCTCGTTGCAAACTTATGCACAAACTAGAAGCTATTGTACTTTAAAGACAAACAACCTTGTTCTACATAGCTGGCTAGAACCCACGATCATAATATTCCTGCCCCACTGCTCCTAAATAATTCATAGTAAGGTGGGCTACACGTACGGCTCCAGTCTCGAAGCCAGCCTGCATGTCAACTCGCTAGCTCTACCTGTGGCCTATAAATTGAACTCATTTGAATAATAAATTGACTACACGAACTTCTTCGATGGATAATATATAGACACGAACACGGAATTCTTTGAGACAGTCTTATTTTGTATGTTGCTATCTGGAAACCAATTCGATAAGTCCATAAGTGGTATATTATTTAACATGAGTTTCCCTTTCACTTCAGGGTAAAAAACCGCTAAAGAACCGTGCTTCAACTCAGCTTTCGATGGCTCTAATTGATACGTTAAACGAAGCGAAATTGATAGACACGCAGTTTTATTTTCTATCCAATTAATCTGTTTCGATTCACAGTGACACACGACATGTGATATATTTTCCGAGAACCATTGATATCGCTAAGTTGATATACAATGAGATCTTCGGTGATCGATTATATTGTGTTATACAGATATTTTGTTTACAATAGTAATGTTCATAGGGCAGTTAACTGTTTAACTTGTAAGTATCAACAGCAACGTACTAATTTATATCCTATTACACACACCCAACCAATTAATGCACGAATATATTACGGAACAAAAAATTCCCAAAAGCTAAAACGCTATGTTGTTATGTTAAATCGCTGGAAGTGAAAACAAACGAATACTTTCCATTACAAAAGCAATATAGAATGGAAGCAAACGTAATTGAAGAGATTACCTCTCTATAAGGTTCGAATTCAAATGCAAAGAGTACAAGGTAAGGTAACTCGTGCCAATAATCACGGTAACAATAGGGCTGCCCTATCTAGACATCGATGAACATCTGGGGAACGTAAAAGTCAACACATTTATGTAAATAGACAACCAAAGCATGACTTTGAGACTAAACGGATAATAACAGAGCAAGCTTATAGATAGACAAGCATGAATAAAACGTTTAAAGATATTCAACAAATGGAACAAAATGAAGAAAATCTTAACCTTTTATTAAAAATCTAAAAGTTTAAGCAATCCATTTAATACGCCTACTTTAAATTCTGTGAACGTAATTTGTAAAATTTGCAAATAGAACCGATTTATTTTTCAATCGGGAAATAGGGACGTGCGTTGAACATAACATCGGCATTGGACAGGCCTAAAAGGGGCCTGGGGGTATGTTGGGAGCTTTCAACCCTACATGTGTCGGGTATTGGCATGTCAACGTGACTGCGGTCACGGTCGGACGGTAGTAAGCAGAAATAGACTGAGGGCGTATCTTTGACAGGTTGAAATGTATTGTTACTGTAATGTCATGGCAATGTACCCGCTGAAAGACGTGAATGAAACACCTGGCTTGTAGAAAATAAGATAAATTTTAAATTGGTTTACAAATTCCATTACGATCTTCTATCCTTAACATCGATATTGTAATTAGGATTATCTGTTAATCTAACGAGGGAACCCACCCCTCGCTAACTGCGTTTTAGACGCATCAAAATCCAGTACTTAATTGGAAATGAAAGGATCTATGAGTATCACTCATAAACTGTTCGGCGTTATACCAGATAATTAAAGATTAGACTTTTTTATTGCATCTAGAATCATAACAACAATCTAATATTTGTATTCATTGATCTAGTTCATGAAATTAGATGATCGTGTTTTATCTCCATAAAACACACAAATCCATTGAACAATAACAAACAGTAATTATTCTGCATACAAGATATTTAACCAAATCTGATTAAGATTCCACAATGACCCAAACAATCGGCCAAAGGTCAGGGGAAGAGTATTAAAACAAACGAAAGGTTTAATGATTTGGCCTGAAAACGGTGTTAAAAAGGTGAGCGCTAAAAGCCGCCACGGCACCGATTTGTCACGAAAGAATTTTAAACTCTGTTATAATTTACGAAATCCTTTACGGCGTGCAGCGTCAAGAGTACCATTCGAAACGAAACCAAATTAACTGTGAAACAAATGGTGACAATGAACGCGTGGATTCTGTTTTGTTAATGCGTCCACGCGTTAACTGCTAATCGCCGTGTATTTCACAATGTATATAAAATGTAATGTGTTTTGTTTTGCTCGTTTTTAGAGCAGTCACTTCATTCGAAAGTTAATGGTTTTGATATTTGGCCGTGGTAACGTAAACTTTCACGTTTAAACGTTTTCGCAGAACTTTATTTACGTTTGTGGTGGCGTGACAAACGTAGTCATCATTGTAAGTTGTAATTGATCACGAATTCACGGTAATGACATAAAAACTTATTAACAGACTTGCATCACAGCTTCCTCTTCGAACAGACCATTAATTTAATCAATATATAAGATAACTTATAATAATGACTTACCGGCAGCATCATTGTTGGCAGTTGGCTGCGCAGGAGTTCGCTTGGGTGTGCTGGTGGTTCGCGGGGAAGGCTGCGCGCGCCGGCACGGAGCCGTACACTCCGGACCATTCGTACGCTATAAACAAAACAAAAAAAAAACAATTAAAACAACAATCAGAAGTAGGTACATCAAGGGGCAAATATTAAACAAAATTCTGTTTGGCCGCTAATTAAATAAGGAGTAAGTGATACGCTGCGTATAATATCAACCTCCACGATAGTCTCCTCCATTTCTTAAGAAAAACCCTGTAATATATTGCCCTTGAATAGGTATGACCAGAGAGACACTGAAAACTCCTCGCTATTAAAATCTCCTATCTATTGTTGCTACCGATAGCAGCAATAGATATATCTTAGCGTTTTCCAACACTCGTAGCACGAATTATAAGGTTTATAGCAAGCTAAAGTTCTGATCTTTTAGTAAACAGATAATCGATTCCTAGAATCTTACTCAACACGAATCCTTGAGTAAGTTTTTAGTACTTAGCTAGGATCGTTATTTCTGCACCAGTAAATACAGTTATAAAACTTGGATTACCAACGATCTCAATTATTGTAGTTGTTAGAGGATTTTTCGAATCAAATCCCGAAAATATCAGTTTTATTTATATCTGAAGGACGCATTATTTTCAATGCGTGATAGAGGAACTAAGCAAAATAAAAATATAGGTAACTGTCGGAAAATCACCATAGTGGTTAACAGTATGTTTATAGAGCTTATTATACCGAATCAATCAAAAGCCTTCGGTAACTATAGAACTAAGATTGGCATTAAAAACTTAAAGTTGACTTGGTTGATTAAATCTGAAGAGTTTTCTCCAAGATCCGATCACATATGTAATGCATAAGCGTGGATATCTCAAAATATACAGAGCAGGGGCACGGGTTGCAATCTTCAAGATCCTCCACATGAGATTGTCTCGGTATGCAAATGCGAGTCCCTTGCACATATTGGACTGCATTGCGACTTACGTACACTCTCCCGTATTTCCACACATTGAACTATTCTCATATAGGTATTTGAAGTAACTTTTCGTTATCTTAATAATATTAAATTGCAATGAAAACAGAGTAACTATTAAGTATTAAAGTTTTTCATTCTTATATTTACTCAGCAAAGTAGTTTGTATTTGTTTGTGAAAATAGATATCCTAGAATTACGGTAGGTATTTTCCGATGTGCTGTCTTAGGGATATACATTTCAAATTCAAATTCAGATAGGTAATAGGTATTTTTTTAGATAGGTGACTATCTTACCTTAGCTTTTGAAAATTCAGATGTGATAAGGGACAAGTTTAAAGTAATAATGTAGCATAGTGATAAGCATAACCCAATTTGAAGTAGGTTATTTATTAGACATATGGCTGTTTGGACTAATCCCAAAAAAACACCTTACAAACACAACACGCCTACTTAAGATATACATACATACATACATAACTTCACGCCTGTCTCCCATGGGGGTAGGCAGAGACTAAGGAACGCCAATTACTACGATTCTTACATACCTCTTTCGCTTCATTAACAGTCATCAATCTTTTCATGCATGCTCGAGTATACAGAGCGGATATGAATGGGGCCGTCGGTAAAGGGCGCCCTAGACGAACATATAGTGACCAGATTGGCGATATATTAAAGAAGGGCCAAATTAAAAGTACCCTTAACTTAAGATATAACAACTTAAACACCGATAAATAGGTAGACATTAAATATTGAAATATTTCATCACAACACTGTCAATTCCACGTAATTATGTGTCATTAATCCTATACAGAATTCCCGAGAATTCTCACAAAATGGTTCATCAAAACTGATTAATTTCATTGGCGGATCACGCAGCGAGCTTTATTAACCTATCATAGATAGTTATTTGATAAGATTATTTAGCTCTTTTATCTTCGTTAAATTAGATGTAGGATCTCCTAATTAGTGTAGTACCTCATTAAATCTAGATTTAGATAATTATTTATGTTCTGTTTTCTAGATTATTTGAAGTTTAAACTTGCGAGGTCAAGGTTGTTTCAAGTTGAATTACGATTTTTTGTTTACAGATTAGAGTGAAAGTTAATTTATCTCTTGTTTTTGATATAGTTTCTTTGGTTGTTTGATGTTTACTGTCACTTGTCTTGATATAGTTTACGATTGTATCACGTTTTTCGTTTTAGCAATTATCGTGAACAGCTGTTATTATTCTTTATTGGGACAAGCCCCCACAACCTGCAAAAACCGCTGCAACTCCTGTGAGTCAGAATCTACAGTTCGAATCTACAGGTTCGGCGCAACCGGCGCGCTTCGCGTAAGAGAAGAAAAATCTATAGTTTCCACTTCCCTAGGTAAAATTACTGCAGGAGACAGAGTGGATTTAGCTTAAAGGCGGACAGCTGTTATAAGTAACTAATTTACTTACATCACTTGTCAATAACAATTTACCTACTTATGTAACAAGGTACATATTCTATACGCAGTCACGAAACTTACCATTCTATTAACTTTATACTCCTTAAAATAAATCCTCATATTGGTATGGTGGTCTCTTTAATTTTATGCTTAACATAGAATTAAGAGTGCCAAACACTTATTCACTTCACGTCTCAACTAAAGTACGATACCACCTAAAAACCAAGTGAAATTGCCCATAACTCTTCCTAATGATATCATGAAACTGGCTTTGGGGGTGTATCTTTTAGTGCCGAGTATTTTTGTATCAGTAAGCTTAGGGATTATTTGCTAAAGGACATAACATTTTAAATTAGGTGGCCCGGAGGTTTAAGACGTTCGCTTCTCGTCTACAAGCAGGGTTTGAAACCTACTAACGGCAAGTATACCAATGTGACTTTTTCCGAGCTATATGTAAAGTACTATATGTACTCGGAAAAAGTATTTAGACACCACTGACAAACGTTGAAGGAAAACATCGTGAGGAAACCTGGACTTATAATTACAAGTTTAAATTGGCAACCCGCATTGAGCAAGTGTGGTGATTAATGCTCAAACCTTCTCCGTGTGAGAAGAGGTCTGTGGTCAGCAGTGGCCACTTTTGGACTGTTGATTTACGTATTTTCTTTTATTTTGTCGTATAAAAAACAATACTTAAGTAAATAAAACGAATCAAAGTTAAAGAGCTAACTACGTCACTTTCGAGTATAAAACGTACACAAAAGTGATGTCACGCGATATTTCAAATTAATATATCGTCGAAAGTATCTGAGTCCGTAAGAAAAAAAAATACGAGTCCAACGATATTAAATAATCTTCTTGGACACGAAGATGAAATAAAATCTACCCTATTGATGACATTGAGTTCAATATTAGGCTTCAAACATGTAAGACCTAGACCTGTCACTAATTTAAGAACTTCTAGACGTTTCCTCAGTTCAGAAAACATATTAAATACCTCAGTCCTAAAGGTTAAGAGACCAAACAGCTCTATATTACTTGAATTATATCTCAAAGCATAAATTCCAAGAATCGACATTCGACACAGATGGCATTCAGCCGATCCTAACCGCATTCTTGGAGCAGAAAGCGAGAATTCAGCAAGTCAGTCAAACCGCTAAAGCCTTTAAATACATAATTAAATTAAGCTAGAATTAGATTTTACTAATTGATTAACCGAAAAAAGCTTACAATCCGTAATTTGCTGTGAAGGTTTTTCAACAAAATTTGGTTATCAGATTTACATTCTCAATGATGTTTTAGATATTTTGATTCTCTTAGTAAATTCTACTTATTATGAAGACTTAATAGTCATATCATTAACAAATTAACGTTAGAATTGATCACGTGCAAAGTCTTTGCTTTAGATGTCGAATCTCAATAAAATAATCTTACCTATATCTTATACTATTATTATGTATACATAAAGCTGAAGAGTTTATTTGTTTGAACGCGCTGAAATCAGGAACTACTGGACCCATTTGATTTTTTTTTTGTCTTGGATAGCTCACTTCTCGAGGGAGGCTATGGGCTTTAAAACATCACGCTACCAATAGGCGCGAAGCATACCGGGTGAAACCGCCCTGAACCAGCTATTTTGTATAATTAAATGCTTACTTGAAATTTATTGATTACATTGTACTAAGTCTACATCAAGATCTGGCTGTCAAAGTTACAACAGTTCATTATAGGTTTCTTGGAATCGGTTCAAAATTGTCTACATCTGGTTGATAGATAGGAAAGCGCATTCACATAGTATTTCATTGAATACATATACTTGGGAGCTCCAACTGTATAACGTAGAGCTTAGATAGTCTTGGCGGACCCAATAGAAATAGATCCTTACAGTTAATAAATAGATTGTAAGGTATTTACGGGAAATGCATATATCCTTGTGTAAATAAATTTAGTTACTTAGTATTCTCACACAAATATCACACAATGTTTAAACATTTATGCTTGAACTAGATTAAATTTGAATCGAGATAAAGGTAGGGGAACATTGTGATTGTGATATATATGCCTCTAATCTGTTGTTTTTGAAATAACTAAATAATCTCAGTACGTATTTCGAGTAAAATTCAGTTGTTATCTTAACAAACAATATAACATTTGTTAGATATAATAAAACCAGTGAGTAGCTTTTGACAGACTGACATTTATTACAAACCGATCCAATCATTTGAGGAGTGAGTTACAAACAAGAGCCAATAGATGGCGCTACATACCATTATTGTAATATTATTTTAATACAATACAATAATAAGATAAAGTTAGTTCACTTTGTTTTACCTCTTACTGCTTATCCGATTTACGTGATTTCGTTAATTTTATAGATTTTGTTTGCTAGCCAAGTTTTAGTCGTAAAATGTTATGTTTTACTTTGCGTGGGCAGACAAGAACAAATTGTAAGGCTATTGTATAGATATATGTGCATAATAAGTTGCACACAGTTTCAAAATCAGATAGTAATTTCAATATCTCTTATATGGAAGTCATTATCTGTTATCTACCCACTTAACAGAAACTTAAGTGAAGCCCTTTTTGCAAACAGTTCGTAGGAAAACATGGAAAGAACTTGCCTAATTAGGGTTTGTGGCCAAATGTTTGTTAATAGCACTAAGTAATTAAACATTGGAT